TACTACAATGATATGTTTTTGGAAGGACAACACGCATTTATTATTAATCTGAAACAAGTGACAGCAGCAGTATTGTGACAAATGACGGAATATACAGATTACACCGTTGTTGGTGTTATTTCAGTGCCGTTTAATGGCCACCTAATCTCACAGTGCTTTAAACTATTGTAAGGATAATGACCAGGAACTTATATTCCTCACAAAAACTGCCGAATGCAATTATATTTTCGATTATTTACAACAAATCATTTAACGACCGCCTTACTACGTACTTTGGTTTATGATATTTCATTGTTAAATATACAAATACATGACACTTAAATACACCCTATTCAGAAACTATTGTTTGTTTTTTGTTGGTGAGCACGGAAGGTCGACAGGAAGGGAGGTGGCAACCTCATTTTAGGCTGTCTACATCGGTATTAATATATTTTATATGGGATATGCAGAGAGGATGGGAGCCTTTCTCACCTCTTACATATATGCGGCACAGCTTGTGTTGTTTGTGGAATACAGTGACCCGGTGAATTTACAGTGTCATTTTTGGGTGAGCGCCCTTTTTTGACAACACAGACCGATTGTCGTATTATTTGAACTCTAGGTGCCCTACCGCAAACGTCAATTCTGATTTAGTAGTTAGAAATGAGACAAACAAGAGGGGTTGTTAGCGGATGTAATACCTGTCTGGAAGAAATTAGCATATTTGGCGAGGAAAGCAGTTGCTACGTAATATATCCACGTGACAGGATAATTCTCCCCATCACATAATGACGGATTTCATTTGCTATATATATATATATATGGTAGGGAATCCTTGTGCTTTCTACATTCAATCATTGTCGTTGCCGGAGATTCATATTTGTATTCGTTTTTATATTGCTATTATTATTCTTATTACATGTCATTTCGCTATAGTTAATTCGTTTACCTTTCGCATGAACGATTGCTCTTAGTAATTCTCGACCAATTAGAATCATTTAATTTCAGCCAATCAATTTACTCTGTGTTGTATCTTTTTTCTCCCGCGTATCTTACATTAGTATTTCCCGCTTTGTTCATGTGTTAAATGTTTCTATGCCAGTTTGTTAAGCAATAAACCATACCGTGTTTTTTTGCATCTACATCATTTGACTGTTGTTTATTCTGCGATCAAGTACAACCGAAGCCCACTACTGTATCCCCCACAATCATTGTGTAGATTTAACTTAATTTAAAAGGTTTCTAGTCCAGCCGGGTGAAAATATACTTGATGCAAAGAAATGGATTTACCCAATATTTGCTCTTATGGCTCTCTAAATTCGCATTTTAAATTGATAAACTTGACATTGCACAAATTCTTACATATATGTACATGTATTTGACATATATTACACAGTGTATACAATACACAACATAACGGATTGTTCAGAGGCTAAACATTTTAAAATTAATTTCCTGCCATATATGGGTTAGAATATGATGTTTTATTAAAACGAAACGCAATTCACAGTTGACAAAGTTCAATAAGACATAAAATACATAACAATAAAAAATTAAATCCCATGAAAATAGGTTAATAGAGCTCATAGACATGTAGCGCTTGACGTTACGATGGTTACAATGTAAAACGTGTGCCCCCACTACATTGTCATCATGAAAATTATATATTCTTATTACAAGTCATATTACTTATATCGATTCAATTAAAACATGTGGAAAATGTGCTGAAATTCTTACTTTAGTTAAAGTTAATCTGTTTTTATTCTTAATTCCACTAATTACAGATATATTTCACAAATCTAAGCCAAATAGCGTCAAATAACGTCAATCACGTGACTGTCGTTGATACTCATGTTCTATTATGTGGACGGTATATGGAATAGTATATTTCTGCTTTGTGTATTTGTGTAACTATTTGGGATGATGGATTTTCATCGATAAACTGGGCTACCAAGAATAGTTGTATTGTATATTTCGAAGAAACTAGTGTTTCTGATTTAACTTAAACTATTTAAAATTCATATTTCTATCAGTGCAGTATAATACGTTACTTCATTTGTACGTTATTTATTTTCACATTAATTGACTTCATGAACATGATCTGAATTCCGCCATGTTGATTATACTTTCCGAAAATATTTGTCATATGTAACATGAGTTTTTTCAACTTTCAAATTGTAGTATACAGAATAAAATGAAGAAAAAAAAATATTATTAGCAAATATGATAGTAAGTACAATAAAAAACATGTGTCGATTAGTAGTATTTAGATTTGTTGAGCCTCCGCTCTCTGATACAGTTCAGATTTAATATCTAAGATGGATATAGCCATTCTCAGGCTCCATTCAGCTACGAAATAAACGTTCAGTCGACTCAAATGCGGCTGGCATGCGCCACTGAAATTAACTTTTTGCGAAGTTCGAAAGCCGTTTTGAATGTGGTAGTTCAGCTAAACATTCATTTGCCTGTGCTTGCTCCTGCAAATTGAACTACTCAAGTTCGTCCATGCAAACCGACGCTCTGATTCACCACGGGACGGATGTTGTGCATCATCACTGAAAAGTGTGACACTCTGCTACCCGCTCGTTTAGTTTCACCGTGCGACTCGTATAACAGACTTAGATTTTGAACTGTTGAGGGTAATGGTGATACAATCAGGATATTTATTCGTGGAGACATCAGATACAGTGATGATACAGTGAAGTGTAAACTTGGTTTCCAGGCGATGGCTTTATAGCCACGCCTAGAGACAGACCTCTCGTATAACCTCCGCTCCCGTATAACCTCCGCTCCCTCTTTCTCATCAGTCCCCCTATTTATAAGTGAAACCACGTGATATCGTGACGTCACTACGACGCCTAGCACAAGTCAACGTGATTGGTTAGAACTTACTAACATGCCAAATAAGGAGTGCTAGACAGTATGGTGACGTTTGACACGGCGTGTATAAAAGTGTTAATATGGTTTAGGCTTTAAACAATACATTAGATATTACATATAGGTGTAGGAATGTGAACATTAACGTAATAAGCATGGGAAAGTTAACACGTATTGACATAGACAATTGAATGCAATTGTCATGTCATACGTGTATGCGGGTACCACATCAGATTGGTGACACTCGTTTCGTTATAACTATTAAATTCCAGCCTGTTTTAATTCTGAAGATAAGGTGACACGCTATACGAAATGAGTTACGCAATTATTTGAATATTGGTATAAAACATAGAATTTACAAATCCACCAAATTACAATTACCTAATGAAACACAAGATGGTGTTATATATAATAAATAAATTAAATCTGCATCCCGTCTAGCTTTTTTTTCTCTCTAATAGGCGAATTTTGGTTTGTGTACGAATACTTGTGTACAGTATTTTTCAAGTTGATAACCCGAAATACAAACCGACGACCAGAACAACAATTACAATGAAAATCAACAAAATCGAAATAAAGCAACATGAGCAGCAGCTCTTATTTGTTTCCACGTCTTGCACTCTATATGCGTTGGAGTGGTCAATGAGCTGTAAAATGGTGTGATCTGGCCTCTGGATCGGGTCACGTGAAACAACTGGTAGGCCATGAGATGACAGACCATGACGATTTCGCTGCATTCGACTGCCGTATCGACTAAACTCAGAGATGTGTTTGTTGGTTTTAGTCTGTTTGACGGTGCCTGTAGAATGGATAGAGTCTCGGAGTAAGTTACAAGTAAACAAAAATAAATAAAATCAGTGTTTGTAATGAGAATGCTGCAAGACAAGTTGTTCATAGCAAATAAAAAAGGCTCCTTCTAAACTCATACAAGTTCTTTGCAAAAACACTGCTTTTTACACATATTGGCACAAAAAAATCGATAGTATCATCAAATTCCCTCTACCTAAATATTTTATAAAATTATAAATCGCTTTGGTCAACCCTAAGATGTTTCCTTGAACTTGAACGTGCAAAGGCACGCAGTTACCAATTATTCACAAGGCACTATATAATAATAATAATAATATAACGTCATTTACTTGAGAAACGGGTCTTACCTGCCATTGTATGGACATTGGTAGGGACATTGTCCATCTCTATGTTCCTATCTAGGTTCTGGATTGGTGCACGTGGAGCAACTGGAAACACAAACAAATATAATATTCATGCTGAAAATGCCATAAGCGGTGATGTAGTAAGGTTTAATTATCATACCAAATTAAAACTTAATATCTTATGATTGTGGATCCGTACGTGTTGTGCTATTGCCGGAAGGAATATTACCAATGAATGTACTTGTGACTTGGAATGATAACATCGTCGTAGTTGATCACATGATATATTAGGATTTAGATATGTTTGACTAATTTGAAACACTTTCTCCGATTAACCTGGTATGCAGAAACATGAATGGGACTCAATGATAAAAGCGAAGGATTTGAATAGTCAGACTCCTACGCCTCTATAAGGTATATTTTCAAACCCAGCAACCACCGATTTGACAAAAACCTAAATAAAATAAAATCAAGTCATGTCCTGTTATGCTACGTAAGCCGACAGTCGGTCGAGGTTTATTCGAAGTATTGGGGACAAATATACGACGGTAAATACGTAGTGGTTATTTTGCGCTGCCTCAGTCATACAACATGTATTCAGGAGCCTAGTAGGTATTTCTAGAATGTCTTCAGAACAATGGATATACTCGAACCCTAAAGACCTCCTTAACAACGTCGACCTACTTTCAATGTACTCACCCTGTCTCGTGGAAGTCCTCCATTCATTTATGATGCGATTGATCTTTGCGTTGAACTGAGGGTCGTTACGTATTTGCACTGATGTTCCTCCATTCTGAGTAGTCTCCCTTTTCCTCCAGGCGTCTGGGTCCACTCTCCATACCTGCCATGCTGTTATATAGTCAACAACTCCTAGACGTTCCAGCCTTCTAAAAATGTATAGTCTTCTATTCCCGGCGTATGCTCGCCATTTTCCATTTGTGTTATGCACAGCAATCTTTCGAATCAGGGATGGGTTTATTGTCTTATACAGTAATTCCCTGAATGTATCTAATATATGCGTCCCGTCTTGAAAACGACAGTCTATTGAGTCGTGCAGATAATATATTTCCGAAGGTTTTAATTCCACGTCTGGCATGATCGTTTCTTCACAGTGTATTGAATGTAGCAGATGGTAAACAGTAGCGGTGGGTCATTTTCCAGTTAATTCAGTACGGTTAATTTAGTCAATGTTTCCATGAATTTAGTACGGTTTCTTTAGAACTTGTCTATGTAAC